ACATTGTCTAAAGCCCAACCAAATGAGAACCTGAAGGGTATATGAGTAATGAGAGCTTTCTGGTTATTGGTGGATTCGAGATAGAAGCCCTTCATGCTTTGGAAATGCAGATGTGGCAATTTAGCTGCGACAAAGCCCATGAACGCATCGTCCAACCACAGAAAGCGCGTGTAGGCTTCGGCTACGACCAGCTCCCTGAGTACATCCGCACCGACAAACGTCGCCGTTCCCCATGCGAACGGTGGGAAACGCGACCACGGAACCTCATATCGAGTCACAGCCCACTTATTTCGACTGGCATCCTTAAACGGACGAATCACACGCCGCCACGTCATTAGGGATCCACTGAGCAGCTGGCGACGCTCGAATTTCGTCAGACTGTTCAGGTAATTAAGCACGTTCTTCGCGTTGAACTCGTAGTCGTCGTCAATAAATAGAAAGACGTCGGATTTATCTAAAGCACAGGAATGGACATTCACCTAATTAGACGACAATATCGAGCGTCTAAATGGCCCTAATACGTCCCTAATCAATTCAATCAACTCCGTTTACAACCGATCACGCAGGTGTGAAATGTGCAAAGAGAAATTCTAATATAATTCTGCTGGTCAGTTTCTGATCAGAGCGTTTTAATCGCCACATTATCACACAAATCTTCCTTAATGTTACGACGCAGTATGCTAAACACATCACATTACATGACGTCTGCTCGACAATAAGCTGCGTCCTTAAATCCATTATTGTGACGGTTTCGCGATTGACTATGGGCCTCAACACATTGGTTATCACCATGGTGATAGGTCAACTGAGAACGCCTTTATCAACACCTAGTGTTTGCGTAAATTCATTTTGTTAACCAAATGAACGCTGCTTCTTACTGCCAGACATCAAAGCACACTTCAATTTTACATTGACACTTGGTCAGCGAAGAACCAGGTGCGATACCTAGAACTAACAGAGAATAATCCGCCCATTTTTCAAAGTTGCCAAAGAGTAACTTTGCAATACATCTAGTTACTGTCATCAGTGGGCATACAGGCTGGTTTTACCGAGCATTGTACAGTTCAATTTCACCTACGCCAGTTCAACTTCACGCGCACATTAGCATATCAGCATTAACGTAAACTTTTCAATGACTCACTTCACTAAGCCGCCGTCAAATGATAATGAAGCAGCTCCAACATGGTAACAGACACGTTTAAAAGCAGCCTTAGGTTGATATGCCAAGATAATAAGGTGTTGGCGCTTTCTTCAACAGCATCCACACATGTGTGAGTACACCGCACACACCACTATTTAATTGCGAAACCCCCGGGCGCCGTCTACAATCCTTTAACTGAATCACATTCTCCACACAATATGCTTGCAAAGAGGGCGTCTGAGGTGGAATGCGAGAAGAATTTGACAAACAAACGCCATCCGCTGCCAGGCAATTCAACAGACTCAGTTAACATAACCTCACACGTGCCCAGATATATCAGCTGATGCCTTTTCATGCTAGATCAGATTCACTCTTTTATAAATCACGTAGTTTTGAATCCAATTGCACCAAGGTTCAAAAGCACTGTGAGTTTCAACACTCGGAATAAAAACAGCGATGTGCAATTCAATCTCATGTCTGTCCTTAATTCACGTCAGTGATTAGTACGTGATGTCAGTGTGACATATAAAAACGTGTCAAACAGCACAAAGCCCCACCTTGGCAAAATGCAGAAGCCCACCGATGGCTCGCTATAAGTTTGTAGGTCAGGTTCACGTAGGTATCCACGTAGTCACCAATGATCATGTCACCGAACTCATCTGCCTCCACCAACGCTCTCTCTCGAGCCTCGGTTGCCCGCCGTGCCCACTCCACAGCCTTGGAACCCGCCTTCTCTGGCAATCGAATGTCGAAGCCGCCGTTCATGTGGAACAGATTGCCTGCCACATCTGCGCGCGGTTGACCCAGTGCGAACACAACACGGATACGACCTGGCAGATTGCGATACGCCTCACGAATTCGTCTCCTCTCCTCAAAGTGGTATGACGCGGATCGGAAGATAAC